CATTTCTCCCAAACAGACACAGACCTTCATGATCTACTCTGACAACCAGCCTGCTGTGCTCATTCAGGTTTAGGAAAGTGAACGTGCTATGACCAAGGATAATGTGCTTGGCAAGTTTGAACTCACAGGAATACCCCCTGTACCGCGTGGTGTTTCTTAGATTGAAGTTACTTTTGATATTGATGCCAGTGGCATCCACAATGTCTCTGATGTGGCTTAGAATACAGGAAAAGAGCAAGATTACCTTCACTAACAACAAGGGTCATTTGAACAAGGAAGACATTGAGTGCAGGTCCAGGAAGCTGAGAAGGATAAAGCTGAAGATTAGAAGCAGCGGGACTAAGTGTCTTCCAAGAATTCACTTGAATCTTACGCTTTCAACGTGGTTCAACCGTTGAAGATGAAAAATTTCAAGGCAAGATCAATGATGAGGACAAACAGAAGATTCTTCACAAGTATAAGGAAATTGATTGGCTCAATAACCAGACTGCACAGAAGGAAGAATGTGAACATCAACAGAAAGAGCTGGAAAACGAACTGCTGCAACCCCATCATTAGCAAGCTGTACCATCGTGGAGGAGGAATGCCTGGTGGCATCCCTGTGGTGGTGCCTCCTGGGCCCACCATGGAAGAGGTTGATTAAGCCAACCTTGAGCATAGATTTAGCATTATTCTACACAAATTTGTAGCAAATTCTATGGCAGTTCTAAAAGTTGAGCTGCTGTAGAGTAAATAACTGGACATTCTTGATACTTGAACATGGAATATGTGCACAGGGAAAGGAAATAACTGCACTTTATAAGTACTGTATTGTAAAGTGGAAAATGTGGTCTTAAATAAAACTATGTAAAATTGACACCTCTCAAGGGAGGAGCACTTGCTATTGGTAACCGAAACATGATAGACTTAATCAACAGATGACTAATTGAGTAATTTAGAAACATCCCTAACATTTGTAAGAAAATAGTATTTAGTAAGTGGCTACACAAATCATTTGGAAAATTAAAGATTATTTAACAGATACTATTAGGAACGGTTAACAATTTGAAAAACAAAGGTAGGCAGTATGCTTACACATCGAAACTTGTTCTAGAATGACGAAAGGAGCAAGCCTTCATTTTCATTTATTTTTTTTATTGATTTCAGATCAGGAATTATTTAGATCTTTGCAGACTAGAGTTTTGCATACTTTTTTACTCATTATCCCTATGCTGCCTCTCTTTAAGTTTCCTGAAGTTATCTGAAATAGGTATTTTATCTTTAAAATGAAAGTTAATTTTGTTTCCTCCCTTTCTGCTTCCTTCCCTCCCTCCCTTCTCTCCCTCTCCCTCTCCCTGTGTGTGTGCATGCATGTACCTATAAAATATAACTAGGGAAAAACTTTTTTTTAGAACAAAATTGATGCTCAAAGATGATCTTCTAGTTGTTTTTTGGGCATTGTCCTTAAATACCTATTTCAGTTTGAGAAGCATGACTCTGCACTTTACACCTAAAATTTAGGTACCCGTTACCAGATTGGTGTTTTCTATTTATTTGCCATCAAAGAAAATTACTGTGTGTGTGTGTGTGTGTGTGTGTGTGTGTGTGTGTGTTTAAATATATATATTTTTTATTGATTTCAGAGAGGAAGGGAGAGGGAGAGAGAGATAGAATCAGTGATGAGAATCATTGATTGGCTGCTTCCTGCACGCTCCCTACTGGGGATCGAGCCCGCAACCCAGGCATGTGCCCTTGACCAGCATGTGCCCAGTAGCTTTCAGTCTGTAGGCCGACGCTCTATCCACTGAGCCAAACTAGCTAGGGCCGTGTGTGTGTGTGTGTGTGTGTGTGTGTGTGTGTGTGTGTGTGTTTAAAATTTTTTATTTAGTGATTTTAGAAAGAGGGAGTAAGGCGGGGAGAGAGAGAAAGAGAGGTTGATTTGTTGTTCAACTTATTTATGCATTTGTTGGTTAATTCTTATATGTGCCCTGAACCAGGATTGAACCCTCAACTTGATGTATTGGGATGATGCTCTAACCAACTGAGGTACCAGGCCAGGGCCTTATTTATGTGTTTTTGAATAATTAATTATTTCATGTATGTGTTTTTGAATAGATAATACATACATAAAATTTTTTTTAAAAGCTTGTGTAGTGAAAATCAAGTCTGTGAGTCACCCAAACTCTGCTAATTATTCTTCCTCAGGCGTAACCACTGTTTCTATTTTCTTGTTACCTTCCAGGAACAACACTTACATCTGCAACTGTTCATACAGTTGACCCTTGAACAATGTGGGAGTTAGGAGTACTTACCTCCTCTGCAAGTCAGAAATCCACATATAACTTTTAACTCTTCAAAAACTTAACTATGAATAGAATCCTTATCGATAACATAAGTAGCTGATCAACACATATTTTGTATATATATGTATTATATAGTGTATCTTACAATAAAGTGAGCTAGAGAAAAAATGTTAAATTACAAGAAAGAGAAAATAGATGTATTACATTTATTGGAAATAATCCACCTATAAATGAACCTGTGCAATTCACACCATGTTGTTCAAGGATCAGCTGTATATCAATTCCTTTAAACACACATACACATAAATGGTAGCATGTTCTGCACACAGTTCTACACTTGACCTATTTCACCTACGCGTCTTTTTAGGAGATAATGGCAAATATTTATTTAGCATTTAGTAAGTGTCAGATACTGTTCTAAGCACTTGCAGTTTAATGCGTTAGTGTTTGCAACAACCCAGGAAGTAGATAAAAATATCATTCCTATTCACATTATATAGATGAGGAAAGTGAGGTACAGAGAAGCTGAGTAAAGGAATCAAAATTCAGTTTCAGGCAATCTGGCCTCTCCATGCTCCCAAGTACAACTGTGCTTTATATCTTCATAAACTAAGTTGACCATATGAAATTGCAGTTTTATGGATCAGAAATGGCTGAATTTTAGCAATTTCATATGATCCAACCTAATAAAGTTGCCTCATTTTTTAAAACAACTGCATAGAATTCCATATATAGATGACCATGATTTTTCATTTAGTTTTATTGGTTGATACTAAGCTGGTTTCTATATTTTGCTTTTACAAAAATACAGTGCTGCAGTTAAAGATCTTTCTGCTTATATAATTTTTCACAAATGTAAAAAGAGCAATTGTGTCAAAGGTTATGGACATTTAAATATACTTTGAGAAATTGCCTTGCAGAGATTATACCATTTTGCACTTTCGGGGTCAATGTGTGAGGATGTGTGTAAGCATATGAGAGTTTCCCCCACATCCTATGGATGGGTGCATTTGAGTTTTATACATGTGGTAGTAAGGGGTTCAGCTGCATGGAATCCTGGCATAAATAATGCAGTTAGCCCTGATTTCTGTTTTTCCAGTATTAGAATATATTAATTTAGATTTTGAGACTTCATAGTATAGCTTAATTGTGATCTCAGAGGCATTATTCAATAATTTCACTGGTTATGGTGAAAGATAAGTTAATGCATTGTTTCAACCAGCTTTTTTAAAAAGTACAGTTGGGTTGGGTGTCTTACTGTAATTTTTAGTTATTGGTTACATCTTAAATCTTCAGTTTTGAAATTACATGATTATAGATTATATATCCCTCAAATGAAAAGAAAAAACTTAATTACATTAATAAGTTTATAAAATTTACCTGAAAGAGGCAAGTAATGAGAAAATGACCCATATATTAAAATAAGAAATTCAATAATGAAAGACAGGTAGTGAGAAAGTGACCCATATATTAAAATAAGAAATTCAATAATGAAAGTAGAAGTTTTCCACCAATATATGTCAATTTCTTTAAAAGAGGCATAGCTATCACATAGTTGAGTTTGAATCAAAATAACAAATTAGAACTTCACAGTGGAAAACAATTTGGGTGAAAAATATTAGTTGGGGAAAAAACACCCCACATTTCAACCCTTTTCTTAAGTCTCACTTCTTGCCCTTCTCCAGGAGTGTCCTTGGCAATAGCCATGCCCAAGTTGTATTTTCCTCAGTGCACCGCACGTCTGTACTTGTGCACAAATGTCTGTTAGGTTCTAAGTATATAGAAAGTATTCATGTAGGGATATATTCCAGCATTTTCTGTGCTTAAAACTGTTGTGAAATCTCCTTCAAATTAAATTAAAGTTGATTCTTGTATGTAGATGATAAGGGTGCTGACTTCCCATGTACTTGAAAATCTGCTTATAACTGCTGTATTTTATAGACCATTTTTCAAGGTTTTTATACTCTTGCTTCACCTTTTCCTCAGTTCTATAAACATATTTTTGATTCCCAGGCCTCCTGTCTTTCTCTTATTTGTGAAGGATGCCCACCCATTACTGTCTTAATGTGCTGGACCCTATTCCAGATTGGCTGTGGGGTGCAAGTGTAGGTGAAGACTGATTGGGGTTTTGTTTATTTTTTCAAGCATTTCCTCCCTCTCTCCATTAAGGTAGTTGGTCTTAAGTAAATTCTTTTTTGGCCCTTCCCCATCTACTTCCGATTCATGTCATTCTATTAACTACTACTTGGAGTTGCTGATTCACTTTGGTGAGCAGAATGAGGCAAAAATTATCATTCATTTTGCTCTTTATCACGCTACTCTTGATTCAGACCTTTTTTGTGACTCCCTCTCATTTCTACTTTTCACTAATTGAAGGACCCTTTCAAATCAGATCTCTTACCAAGTTTTCTCTATAATGATGCATATTTACCATGCCAGCTTTGGATATATACAGATTTAGAGTTTAATATTTCTTCACAGAATCTAGCCTAGTGTAAGGCTTTGGTTGTCAATGTTTGTTGATCTGAAATGTTTATTTGAAATTTTTAGCTAAAATCAGGATTTGGATCATCTTAGTATGTTGTGTAGTTAGGGTTTCCCATTGTTATTAGTAATTATATGCATTTTATAGATGCAACGGGAGACGGGGAGAAGCACCATGTAGTTTTATCTGTTTTATCCATTTTTTTCTTTCTTTTTAATTTTTTTTTTTGGCAGAGAAACTTTTCCATGTCTGTAAATAGTGCCGCTGTCCTGCGATTGACAGGACGAGGAGGAGGAACAGTGGTGGGGGCTCCTAGAGGTCGAAGTTCTTCAAGAGGGCGAGGTGAGCTTTTATCTGAAAAAGTAATAATGGAGGAGGAGGTGGAGGATAGGAAATCACTTTAAAAATATTTTAATACTTGATTTTTTAAAAAACTGCTCTTTGACATTAACTGCATACTAAATGTCCTGAACATTTGCTTTCTGAACCATTTTTTAAAATGTATTTTTTATTGATTTCAGAGAGGAAGGGAGAGGGTGAGAGAGATAGCAACATCAATAATGAGAGAGAATCATTGATCGGCTGCCTCCTATACACTCCCTACTGAGGACTGAACCCGCAATCTGTGCATGTGCCCCAATTGGGAATCGAACCGTGACCTCATGGTTCAAAGGTTGACACTCAACCACTGAGCCACATCAGCCGGGCCTGAGACATTTCTTGATGTATCTGCTTCACAATCCCTGATGTGGAACAGACAAGGTTAATTCTAGCTTAGAGATTTGAGTGTGAAGCATTCTAGATGGTCCTAGTTAACTTTTGCAAATCTTTGTCCCCAGGGAGTTTTGCACTTGGAGAGCCAGAGTTCCATGAAGTGCCTTGGCTGCTGGAGCAGCACCAAAGTCCCTGCAGGCTTCTGTAACGCAGGGTTTCTATATAAGGCCACGTGTCAAGGGTGTCCCAGCCCCAGAGAGACTTTAGTAAAAGTTGTCTCATCAAAATTAGGGCTGTTTTAGGGGGTAGAATAAAAAATAGTTATGTAGCAGTCATTTAACCTACATTTTACAGATTTGTGTCTTATCTTAGAACAATTCCTATTTCAATATTACTTGTTTTTTTGATATCTGCTCTCTATTTTGGGTTTGTTGATTTTCTGCTACTTAAGGGCATTCTTGATGTTTATAATATAAATATTTACTTGAGCACTTACCTCTAAATTGGCTAAATCATAGTAGTAGTCTAAATATCCCTTGTCATTTTATTTAAGAGGTGCTTTAGAAATGCAAGAATTGGGTATCTGCTACAGCAGAGGCCATTGTGTCTGCATATCGCACCACCCAGATTGTCATGATTATGAGTGTGGAGCATCTAAATTATTTTTTCTTTCTTTTTAAAAATATATTTTTATTGATTTCAGAGAGGGAGAGAGAGAAACATCAATCATGAGAGAGAGTCATTGATCAGCTGCCTCATGCATGCCCCCTAATGGGGATCGAGCCCGCAACCCAGGCATGTGCCCTTGACTGGAATCGAGCCTGGGAACCTTCAGTCCGAAGGCTGATGCTCTATCCACTGTACCAAACTAGCTAGGGCTAAATTCTTTTTTCTTAAAGTTGTGTCTTATGAATAGAGTAATTTGTACTCAGTTTTTATAGAGACCGTATTTAATTGTGCATTCCTGTGAAGAGGTTTCTTTTAGTAGTCCATTCAAAATATGGAATGCAGGTAACCTTTACGAATTCGTAACCTTTACGAATAATGTAAAGGTTAATGAAAACTCAACTTGTAGGCTTGTTACTATTACTGAGTTATATTTGTTGTACTTGTTTTTTTCTTCTGAATTATTTGTCAATGTCTAGAATGGTGGTTTTTAACCTGGGGAGTTGTTAGAATCATCTGTAAAACTTACAAGAAATACCTCTGTGAGAGACTACTTGGATGATGAATTAAGGTATGTGTGTGCTTCAAAAGCTCCACACACCATCCATCGAGATTTCCAAGTGCATTTAGATTCCATTGATCTAGAATTCGACTTGAGATGTGTGCATCTATCTTGGTGGTGCGATAGTGTTTTGGAGACAGCCCCAATCTGCTATTGGGTGTTTCCTGTATTTCTCTGCAGTGGGCTGGCAGCAAGGAGAGGTTGCATGTTCTCAGCTTTGTCTCCAGTGCTTTTCAGGGCAAGACATAGAGAGATCTTATTAATCAAAAAGTGTGGCCCACAAGCCAGCTGTTTTATGTGCCTCAAGTGACTATCAACTGTGTGTGCTGCAAATACCAGCCAGTCTCTCTAAACAGGCTTAAACGAAATTCCATATCGAGGAACAAATGAGGGATTGATAAATTTATCCCTGCTTTCTGGTTTCTTTGAAGTGTAGGGTTATCATACAGAATAGAAGTCTTACATTCACAATTTAAACAGGGCATGCACAAAAGATAGATACTGTGATGAAAGCTGTGACTTAACATCAGTGTGAAAGAATGGCTTGAAACTTAGTCAAATGAATGAACTGACTTTGTGAAAAATACTTCTAACACCATTGTCCCAGTTGTGATTCTTTTTAATGGATATGGTTTTATCATCTTCACTCATTACTTAATTTTAACTTGTTGGTTAAATAATGATTATTTTGGCTTTCTTCCTTTTTTAATTTTTATTATTTTTTGCATGGGCAGAGCTAATATTAGATGATAATCCTGCCTCTTTCCAACTTGAGGGAATGTTGATTTGAAAATTGACTGATTCCCCAACTTCTAAAGATCACAAACTAGTAAAATTTACACAAATAAATGGAGGGGAAAACAACATAGTTGTCATCTTTCTATTTTATCTGGTTAAGATGTTTAATAAAAAAGCAGATTCACGCAACTGGAAATATATTTTAATCCCCCAAAAGAATAGTGTGAAATCTCAGGTAATAGGTCAATCCTTTAAATTGAGCTTTATGAAAGATTCATGTTATATTTACTTGCTCCTTCTTATCTGGGAAGTACACTTATAAATGATTATGGACTTTGAAGGTTATTTCTACATTCTACAAGCTGGGAAGCTCTAGAACCGATTATTTTTATGTGCCCACTTATAAAGCTTTAGTCTCATAAGGAGGTCTAGTGCTCACCCTAATCATAACTGGCAGAAAATCTTTTATCTGTGGTTTGGTTGTTTTTTGGGCAACCTGGAGGCTATTTTTCCTATTCGTACTGGTATGTTTATAAAACACTTTTTCAAGGTGATACATATTTTTTTTTAAATATATTTTATTGATTTTTTACAGAGAGGAAGGGAGAGAGATAGAGAGTTAGAAACATCGATGAGAGAGAAACATCGATCAGCTGCCTCCTGCACATCCCCCACTGGGGATGTGCCCGCAACCCAGGTACATGCCTTGACCGGAATCGAACCCAGGACCCTTGAGTCTGCAGGCTGACGCTCTATCCACTGAGCCAAACCGGTTTCGGCAAGGTGATACATATTTAATGGCTTTCCAGAGAAAAACGTTCTCTAAAAGGACAGGATACTGGTTTTCTTTCACCCTCAACATTATTGTAGGGATCATCCCAGTATTGCATAACAGTTTGTATTAGACTGTTTTAGGATGACCTTAAATAAAATGTATACATTTCCTAAGGAGAGAGTTACTGAAATTGGGAGTTGACTTTCGGTTGACGTTCAGTTGACTTAAAGTTGACACAAGTTGAAGGTAAGTTTAAGATAATTACAGTTCAGCCCTAGTCCTCACCTATGTTTTACAAATGAAGACATGGATACTTGGACTCTTAAGAAGGTACACATTGTTCCTAAGATTACCCACATACAATCCTGTCCATTATTTTTGTATTTCCTAGTAAGATGTTAAAGTACAACTGTATTCTGAATCAGTTCTTGAGAAATTATAACCAAGATGTAGAAATACTGCATGGATATTTGAAATAATTATTTAACTCAATTGTATTTAGCTCTGGAATGCATCCATGCTTTTATTCAAGATTCAACATCACTTTTCTTTGGGTGGTTTTACCCTATTGGAGAAGTTGAGCTAGGGATGATGGCTTAGATTTTGTCTAGGTATAAATACATCCCTAGACCCCCCACCCTCCTTCAATTTTCAAGCCTGTGTGTTGGAAACGTATGGTGCATATTAGTTGGGGAATCCTCACGCTGTATAGAAAGTATAAAGCTCACAATTCATACTGTCTTTTGTCTCTAAACCCAGCAATTGTGTATATAACCTTCCTGACCCAAACTATGCAGCTATATCATTTATATAAGTGGAATCACTTATTTATTTATTTATTTATTTATTTTTTAAATATATTTTATTGATTTTTTTACAGAGAGGAAGGGAGAGGGATAGAAAGTTAGAAACATCGATGAGAGAGAAACATCCATCAGCTGCCTCCTACACACCCCCTGACTGGGGATGTGCCCACAACCAAGGTACATGCCCTTGACCAGAATCGAACCCAGGACCCCTCTGTCCGCAGGCCGACACTATATCCACTGAGCCAAACCGGCTAGGGCTGGAATTACTTTTATGTGCATTGTTCTTTGGCATGCTTTTGTCTTTCAACAGAATAATGTAGTTTAATAAAATATATATATATATATTTTTTTTTATTGATTTCAGAGAGAAAGTGGGGGGAGAGAGAGAGAGAAACATCAATGATGAGATAGAATCATTGATCAGCTGCCTCCTGCACACCCCTGCTGGGGATGGAGCCCACAACCCAGGCATGTGCCCTTGACCGGAATCGAACCTGGGATCCTTCAGTCCACAGGCCAGCACTCTATCCACTGAGCCAAACCAGCTAGGTACTGTGGTCAGCAAGCTGCGGCTCGCGAGCCACATGCGGCTCTTTGGCCCCTTGATTGTGGTTCTTCCTAAGCCTTAGGAGTACCCTAATTAAGTTAATAACAATGTACCTACCTATATAGTTTAAGTTTAAAAAATTTGGCTCTCAAAAAAAATTTCAATCGTTGTACTGTTGTTATTTGGTTCTGTTGACTAATGAGTTTGCCGACCACTGGGCTAGGGCAATAATGTAGATTTTTTTTAAGTGATAGTACTTTATCTTTTGTGGCTTCATAGTGTTCTGCATTTTGTCAGAATTTATTTAGCCAGTCCTTATTGATTATATATTGTGTTTTTTAATTACAGTGAACATTTTTTATATGTATGCATTTGCATATTTCTGAGATTATTTCTATTAGGATAAATTCTAAGTTAGATTTGTTGAGTCAGTTTTTTATAGATCTAACCAATTGCCTTTAGTAAAGGCCAGTTTACACTTAAACCACTAGAGCTCCTAAATCCCTACATCCACACATTCTTATTATTATTAGCTTTGTGCTTTGAAATTCTTTGTGATACTTTTCTTCAAGGTTTGAGCAAAGAGGAAAGTGCCTTTGGTTTCTGTGGAATATCCTTTAAGGAGTTAGTTCATAAAATTGATGGTTTAAAGTTGACCTTATTAAATTACTCTTCCTCTGGAGTTAGATAAATTATTTTTATATTTGTACTTGGCTTTTGTACTTTATCTGCTCTCTTGGTAAAGTCTCTAAATCTTCCATTTTTGTTGAAAATAATAAAAGTTTTAACTTGTAGTAATTGCTTAGTAATCACCTTAGAATTTCACTATTGGACTTTTTATTAAAGAGCTTAATATTGACACTGTTTCTTGTTCAGGACTGGGACTGGGACTCTTACACCAGTTTACTAACTTGTTTCTTTCAACCTCCTGTGGTCTAGCTACTTCAGTGCCATCGTTGGTCTCACAGGTAAAGATCCATTGGGCCTCGCTAAATATTAAAATGTAGACATTCTGCTTTGTATAGAGACAGAACTTCAAAGATTAATCTTTGGTGTTAAACATGTGCCAATGTTGACATTTGATTATCATTTTTTCTATTTTCTTATTTTCAGGCAGAGGCAGAGGTGAATGTGGTTTTTACCAAAGAAGCTTTGATGAAGTAGAGGGTGTGTTTGGTCGAGGAGGTAGCAGGGAAATGCATAGGTCGCAGAGCTGGGAGGAAAGGTAACTAAAGGTTCCACATCTTGGTATAAAGGTTACTTGATGTAAAAAACTTATGTTCTGCTTTTTGTAGAGGAGAAGCCACTTTATACAGTTACAGGTTTTCTTCTTTTTTTTTAAATTCTCAACTGAGGATATTTCTTCTTTTTTTTTAAATTCTCAACTGAGGATATGTCCATTGATTTGAGAGAGAGAGAGAGAGAGAGAGAGAGAGAGAGAAACATTGATCTGTTGCCTCCTGTAAACACAGCCTAGGTATGTGCCCTGACTGGGTATTGAACCTGAAACCTTTTAGTGTATGGGACAGTGCTCCAACCGAGCCACCTGCCAGGGCATAAGTTTTCATTTTTTTAAAGTGCTGTTAATTATTGAATGTCAAGCTATATGTAAAAAAATTTTAAATGATCTTTATTTAAAAGGAGCATTTTAGATAAATAGGTTATTTATCTGCTTAGATATTTAATAGTTAGATTTGCTGTTTGATGAGCGTTCAGTGGGAAGCATTGACATTTTCTCGTTTGTTGCAGTTAATCAAAGCATCTTCTCTATATTGTTTGTGAGAAAGATGTATGTGCATAGATGTCCACTGTAATGATATTTATAATATGAAATAACTGGAAACAAGTCAAACAGCAATACCAGCATGGTTTCTAATATAATGGTGTATCCACACAATTTATTCTTTATAACCATTAAAGTTAGGTTGATTTTGAAAATATTTCATGATGTGGGAAAACACATTGTTAAACATATCTAAAAACTGTGCAGCATGTATTTAAGCATATATCTAATTTAAAAATATGTCTAATTAAAAAATAATATTTCTGTGTCAGAAGCTAACTATTATATGTGAGATGATGGATATTTTTATTTTCATACTTGCTTTTCTGTAGTTTCCAAATGTTAGGCAATAGCCATTTATTTGTTTTATAATTTGAAAGAGAAAAAATGCTATTAAAGAAACATAGGAAAGTGTGTGTTGTGGATGGAAAATCTGTATATTATTCTCAAATCTTGTTTGAAACTTATCTTTTCTAGGGGTGACAGGCGTTTTGAAAAACCAGGACGAAAAGATGTAGGTAAGGCTTTCTTACTGTTTTGAAGTATTTTTATCTGGATTTCCATGATACTAGTTTTTATTTATTATTTTATTTTATTATTATTATTATTGATTGATTGATTTCAGAGAGGAGGGGAGAGGGAGAGAGAGATAGAAACATCATAAGATGATAAGAGAGAATCATTGATCGGCTGCCTCCTGCACGACCCCCACTGGGGATCAAGCCTACAACCCGGGCATGTGCCTTGACTGGGAATCAAACTGTGACCTACTGGTTCATAGGTTGATGCTCAACCACTGAGCTACACTGGCTGGGCCATGATATGGGTTTTTAACAAGGCTCCCACATAGGATACATTTATTAAAAATTGACTCAGTTACCTGCACCTCTCCAGTAGATGGGGTTGTAGCATTGTTGCATTGGAATTTCACGGTCACTTAAGAGCTCTATTGTATGGAACCATGCTGTGGCATACAATCATTAGAGTTTACTTGATTTTACTTTTTAGGTCTGTGTGTTCTCTGCAAGGCATATATTTTTTATTAAGGGTATGTTGTGAACTGAAATTTCAAGTTAGGAATCAGTCTATTAACTTCTAGTATTTCAAAGGTGCACCCAAAGAGAAAATGCTAGAATGTTGGCTTTTGTATAAGAGAGCAAAGGCTAACATTATGAATGTTCTTTAGTCACTTATTTGGTCTTTTTGATGTGTAATCTTTTTTTCTTGTTTTGAAATGAGAGCAGTCAAAATAAATTGTATATTTAAGGTATCCACTGAATTAAGACAAACAGTAAGAGAACAGAATTTCATTGTTTATGGTGAATGAATCAGTTTATATTAAAGCTCTATAATGTTAAGATGGGCTTTCTGACTGATTAAAGGTACTGCCTTAAAAACTACCAGTAGGTATTATTAATATCAGAGAAAAGTTCCAATTCATAGTAACATTACAGTTATGAAAATTACTGTCCAAATTCCAAATTCCTAGAAGTACCAGGCAAGTTCTCCAGGGCATGATTCTGACAGTAGTAAACATTTCTCAAAAATACATGGTAGATAGGCAAATATCATTCACAGACTGATTTACAGATTGTTTTTTTAAAACAAAGTAGTTACAATACCATTTTTGCATCACTGTTTCCATATCAAAACTCATTTTAACATCAGTTATTTAAGTTTCTCATTTATTATGGCATTAGGAATATAAATAAGAAGCCATTAAATAAGTGTAGCATGAAGAAATTTGGAACAGACTGGATAGATAACTTATTGCTAGCTGAATGGCTTTACTCATATTGTAGACCAGGGGTGGGCAACGTCCAGTGCCCATGAAATCATTTGGTCTGGCCCTGCCAAGGCATTAGGGGTGAGTTAATTAAATGTTTGACCAAATATAGCAGGCTAGTTTTTAAGTTGATAATTTTGTATGGCCCGCGAATGATGTTATAAATATCCAAATGGCCCTTTACAGAAAAAAGGCTCCCCACTCTGTTGTAGACTATTGGATAGGTACTATCTTTGGGGGATTTGTCAGGACCTCTGCTCCCATCCTTGTTTGATTCAGTACTTTTTCTAGTGAATGCAGAGAGGTAATGAAGAACAGTTTAAAGAATACAGGGCTTTGGAGTCAGAAGATCACGAGTAATCTAAGCTCACAGATATTCAGTAGTATCATAATAAATGGAGTTGGTAATGTTTTACATAATTATTGGGATTAAATAAGAGTGTGTGAACTAATTTATTCATTTAATGATTATTGAGTTCCTACTCATATAGTCCTAGTGCTAGGTGATAAATAATTATTTCTTTTCACTGGATGACAGTGTTGGTGTGTGATCAGATTTTCAAGTCATTTATGTCTAGAAGAGGGATAGCTATAGAGAGGAATAGTTGGAACTTAGGGTCAGAATTAAGGTGGAACAAAAGACCAGATTTAATCAGATGGAAGTTTAACAGCAGAAAATGCAATTTTGCATAAATAAATTCCATAACTTAATATAGGGAGCAGTTGTGTAACAGCAGCCTTCTGGGGAAAGGCACAGCCCTTTTAGCTAACTGCTTAATGTTAATCAGTAGTGCCAGTGTGTCCAAGTACAGCATTTACTAGAACTAAAGAAAATGCAGTTTTGCATAAATAAATTCCACAACTTACTATAGGGAGCAGTTGTGTAACAGCAGCCTTCTGGGGAAAGGCACAGCCCTTTTAGCTAACTGCTTAATGTTAATCAGTAGTGCCAGTGTGTTCAAATACAGCATTTACTAGAACTAAAGTGTCCTCAGTGAATCAGGTGATAGAGAGACCCACTGTATTTTATGTTGTCACAGGAGAACTTAAGTATTGTGTTCAGTACTGGAGCCACACCTTGAAAGGGTCCATAGATTGGAATAGGATGATTGGGCATTTGAAGTCCCGTGGTGGGGAATGCATGAAGGAAATGGGTCTGTTTACATGTGAGGCAAGATTGTGGACAGGACAGAGAGAAGAGAGTTTATAGGATCACTGTCTGCAAATATTTGTGTAAGAGGGGAATTTGACTTGCTTTGTATGAGTCTAACGGGCAGATTTAAGGAGGCAGATATTTGACAGTCTTAAAAAGATCTAATAGAGTTGTCTGAAAATGAATTGGATTGCCTAGTAGTGAGTTCCCTGTCATGGGAATAGCTTGATTTTAACTGCTTGAGTGAGAGTCACACTTTGATGGTTTGAACTAGATGAGTATAAAGATCCTTTTATCATTATTTGCCTTTCTCACATTTTAACTCTTTAATTCAGTAGGGTAATTTTCCCAATCATCCACTGTTAAGAATATAGCCTCTTTTCTTTGCAAATGCAAAGAAAATGTATATTTTTTTAAAAGGCAGGTTCCATAAAACTAAATTGATGTGAAGTGGTTAAGAATATTAAGAAAGTGTTTCTTACTAAAACATCAGGGCATCTGCAAATATATATTCAAATATATAATAGTGGCTTTTTGATAAGATGCTCACTTTCAAGATATTAACTGTGTTAATTATTCTGAGCTCTTTTTGTAAGTAATCCACTTTTGTTGAAAATATTTGCTCATAATTGTATCTTATACTGTTCAGGAACAACAGTACTAAACTAGTTTGTTGGGACACATATACTATTGATCAATTGTGAGGTGTCCTATGGCATTAAATTAAGATAATTTGAGTACTGAAGATTCCAGAATGATTTTTTTTTTAAATTGGAGTTGGTCCTTATGTATTTGCTTCTTATGTGGAGAGAAATGGGTGTAATTAGAGATATCTGGGTAAGAATCAATCATGACCCTTGTGAACACCCATGGGAGAATGTAGAAAGAGGCCTATGATAATGGATTCCTATTTAGTGGGAATTGATTGCTCCATAGGGGGAGATCAGTTCCAGTGATCATCTTGTATGATTCTGTGAGGATGAAATGAAAAGATGATTAAAAAATAAGAAATGGTCCAAATGATACCAATAGGTTCATAGCCCAGTGTGACACCATTAGTGCATTTGGTGTGAAATACATTGAAGTAGACCAAAAGCAGTTTTTGGTTATTAGGTCTCTGCTGGCAGTTAGTAATGTGGGCTTGTATATAAATAAAACTAGGCCTTATGATTTTTAGTATCTTCTTGTCTTCAGTTTGTTGGCACTATCATGGTATCTGCATTGGTTTCCAGAAGCACTATTTAAGTTGATCTAACGTGGTCTTCCTGATAATGTATCCGAGATACATCACTGAGCTCCCAGGTGGTCCAGATTAGTGAGCTGTGCAGCCAGGAAGTAAGAGCTGCTATTTCCACCTCCCAGTAATTTCTCCCTCTTTCTATTTGCACTCCATTCTCCTGAAATGATAACGGCATCTTTGCAGAAAACTTTTAATTCTTTTTGTTGTTGTTGTTTTTTGGTTAATCCTCACCCAAGGATATTTTTCCAATGATTTTTAGGGAGAGTGGAAGAGAGAGGGAAAGACAGAGAGAAATATCGATGTGAGAGAAACAGATTGATTGGTTGCCTCCTGCATGAGCCCTGACCAGGGCCCGGGCCAGGGAGAAGCCTGCAACCGAGGTACGTGCCCTTGACCGAAATTGAACCCAGGACCCTTTGGTCCCCAGGCCAATGCTCTCAGAAAACTTAATCCTTAATGTAAAGACTGTGATTCTTTGAAGTGAAAGAATTATGAACAGTGTTTTTGGAAGCTTTCAACCCACTAGACCAGTGATTTTCAACTGGTGTGCTATGCCATACTGGTGTGCTGCAAGAATTTTTGAAACATGCAATACCTGACTACTTTAGTCAGGGGTAGTGACCTCTTTTTGCTTAATTAGATTGTAAAAAATAAAAGAGACAACTTCCCTAGCCAGGTGGCTTGGCTAGTTGGATCATCCCGTACACCAAAAGGTTGTGGGTTCGATTCCCAGTCAGGGCACATACCTAGGTTGCAGGTTTGATCCCCATTTGGGGTTCGAATGCGAGACAACTGCTTGATGTTTCTCTCCCACATCAATGTTTCTCTCTCTCTCTCAAAAAAAATTAGTATAAACATATCCTTAGGTGAAGATTTTTTAAAAAAAGCAAAAAGAAGAGACACAAGACATACAGAAATGAAAACAGCCAACACAACAATAGCCACCAGTGTGAATGAATCAAAATTACACCTTTTTCTTTTATCAGATTGGCAAAAAATATACTTCTTCTGGTGTGCCATAGAATTTTAGTAATTAGTTTATGTATGCCATGAAAATTGAAAAGGTTGAAAATCGCTGCCCTAGATAAAAGTTTTTGATTACATTTCTTAGTTGTCTATTTTTTAAACATTTAAAAAATAGCGTTAGTATACCAACTAGAGGGTGTTTTTTTTTTTGTCGGGGTGGGTTTAGGGGTAAGTCATTCTAGCTTTCAGATACAAAGTTAATGTGTAAATAGTGTACTTCAATGGAGAATTTACTGCATCTATAAGGGAGGCTTAGATCCCAGATCTTTCTCATTCCCTTTGTTTTGTCATTTTGGGAAGTTTTGCTTAACTG